CTAGTTCTGAAGTTTCGTGGACGCCAACGCGTTGGCGTCCACGAAACTTTTGTACGGGACTAATGTTCTAGAAAGCGGGGGGTTGTTTTCTTTTGTCCCGCTGAGCTACTCCGTTCCGTCCGTCCGCTTGCAGGCCCCATCCCATCGGAGCTTGGGCACCTTTCAGCACTGAAGAGGCTCTACCTTTCCAACAACCAGCTGAGCGGTGAGTCAACATTTGATTTCATGACTGTTCCACGACCGATTTTGCGGCGAGTCCCGTGTACGAATCTCGCTGATGCACGTGAGTGGACGCCAACGCATACGCGGGATTCATGCATTTTCAGAAATCGAAAGAAAACAAAACTCTTTTTGGTCTGTTTAACTCACCATCTAACTTGTTCATGGAGAGGTCGAGGGTCTTCAGGGCGCCAAGCTGTCCGAGCTGAGGCGGGATATGGCCTGCAGATGAACGATTCAACGCAGGGCAGTTTGACAGGGTACAGAAGAAGTTATCCCGCTAGTTCTGAAGTTTCGAGGACGCGAATTGCGTAGGCGAGTACGAAATTTCACAATTGCGGAACTCGCGGGACATCTTTTGCTACGCGTGGGTAAAGTAGGTGCTCTAGAAACCGGGTAGTTTATTTACGCTTTCCCCCGTTCAATTCATATGACTACGGTTATTCGCCATTTGCGCAGGAACGATACCGGAGGCGCTAGGGAAGCTGACTGCGTTGCAGGGGCTTTATCTGCATCGCAACAAACTCTCAGGTGAGGAAACGGAAAGGTTGTTTTGGAATGTAGAAGAGTCACACCCACGCGTTGGCGTCCACGAAACTTCAGAAATAGCGGGTACGAAATTTCACAATTTCGGAACTCGCGGGACATCTTTTCCTACGCATGTTTTTCTACAACTGTCCTTGCTGATATTTTCTCCCTGCTGCATTCTTGTGCAGGACCCATCCCCAAGGAGCTGGGAGAACTTAGTAGGCTGGAGATGCTTTGGCTCAACGACAACAGCCTCACAGGTGAGAGAATCGAACAAGAGTTGAAAGTTTTCTTGTTCACGAAATAAGAATCCTGCCGACGCGTTGGCGTCCTCTTGAAATCGAGAGGCGGGATAGTATTTTTTTTTTTTGTCGCGCTTGATTTGTATCGCCCTCCTGCTCGCAGGCCCCATCCCGCGGGAGCTCGGGAACCTCGCAGCGCTGCGAGACCTCAACCTTAGCTACAACAAGCTGAGCGGTGAGTTATGGAGCGCAACATGATATGTGCATGATATTTGCAAATTCGGAGGAGACAAAAGAAAAATCCCCGCGCTTTCCGTACAAAAGTTTCGTGGACGCCAACGCATCGGCGGGATTCATTGTGAAACCCGTGCAAAATACTCACCAGTTAGTTGGTTATTCCGAAGGTTGAGCGTCGCCAGTGCTGCAAGCTTCCCCAACTCCGGCGGGATGGGGCCTGCAGTCAGTCGAACGTTCAAAAACAATTTTAAGGGGCGAATAGCAAAGGCCAATTCTCACTTCTTCTAGAGAAACGTGCATGGACGCCGACGCGTTGGCGTCCACGAAACTTTTGTACGGGACCCATGTTCTAGAAAGCGGGGGGTTGTCTTCTTTTGTCCCGCTGAGCTACTCCGTTCCGTCCGTCCGCTTACAGGCCCCATCCCATCGGAGCTTGGGCACCTTTCAGCATTGAAAGAGCTCTACCTTCACAACAACCAGCTGAGCGGTGAGTAAACATGTGATTTGATGACTGTTCCACGACCGATTTTGCGGCGAGTCCCGTGTACGAATCTCGCTGATGCACGTGAGTGGACGCCAACGCGTGGGTGAGTACGAAATTTCGCAATTTCGGAACTCGCGGGACATGTTTTGCTACGAGTTGCCTTATTTGAGTAGGTGTTTCTAGAAGCCGGGGCATTTAGCTTTGATTCTTCCCGCTACATTATGGGTACTGTGTTCTCGTTTTTTCTCCTTCGATTGCAGGTCCCATCCCTGTGGAGCTTGGACGGCTCGCCGTACTGGGGTACCTCAGGCTTGAGGTGAACGAGCTAACTGGTAAGTAATTTTGTTCGAGTTTCCAAGATGAATCCCGCCGATGCATGGGCAGGACACATGCACATGTTGCAGAAATTACAAAAAAGAAAGGATTCAAATCTCAACACCTCTCTCACCGCTGAGCTGGTTGTCGGACAGGTCGAGCCACGTTACACTGTTGAGAGCGCCGAGCTGAGCGGGGATCGCACCTGCGTAGATATCGAATTCGTTAGAGTTGTGGTGCGGTGTCTTTGATTCCAGAACATCGGACGCGTAGCAAAATATGTTCCGCGAGTTCCGCAGTTGTGAAATTTCGTACTCGCCTACGCGTATGTACTTGGCGTCATGAAAGTTATCCCGCTAGTTCTGAAGTTTCGTGGACGCGTACGCGTAGGTGA